CCCGCAGAGCAGGGAGCCCGATGCGGGGCTCGATCCCAGGACCCCGGGATCATGACCTGAGCCGAAGGCAGACGCCCAACGACTGAGCCACCCAGGAGCCCCTACCATACCATTTCTTAACAAAGTCTCAAATTAAGGGAAGCTATATTTAACCATACCCTATGCCGCCGCCCATATTTGCCAGCAAGTGCTTTGAAACCAGACTGCATAGTTTGGTTCTCAATTCCACCACCTATTTGCTATGTGAATCTGCGTACATGACTAACTTCTCTGACACTCAATTTTCTCATCTGTAAATTGATAATATCTATTTAGAAGAGCTATTTTAAGGATCACAAATACTTTAGATCAAGCACTATCTCTGGCATATGGTAAACACTAAAAAAACCGTTAGCTGTTACTATTCATATATTCAAACCTAGCTTCAAGCTTATTAAAAATCATATTCAAAACATTTTTAAATCTCTGCTTGTTTCTTTCTTGCATTATTACCTACCTACCACATCATCCCTTATCTCAATTCCAACAGGCCTCTATCTCTGTGTAGCTGTTATTTTTTTTATATTAAGAATAACTACTGGAGGGCACCTGGGTGGCTCAGTCCTTAAGCGTCTGCCTTCAGCTCAGGTCATGATCCCATGGTCCTGGGATTGAGCCCCACATCGGGCTCCCTGCTCCGCAGGAAGCCTGCTTCTCCCTCTCCCATTCCCCCTGCTTGTGTTCCCTCTCTTGCCTGTCTCTCTCTTTCAAATAAATAAATAAAATCTTAAAAAAAAAAAAAAAAAAGAATAACTACTGGATTTTGAATATGTCCGTTTGCAGAGGTAATAAAATTCAATTATGATACCACTGTTAACTCTTAATTTCAAACATTTACTGATAACAGACATGTTATTTCTTTAAACCAAACCTGTAATTTTAGAACTAAAAACTACACAGCTTTCTTTTTTTGAAAGTAGGCTCCATACCCAATGAGGGGCTTGAACTAACAACTCTGAGATCTAGAGTTGTGTGCTCTACTGAGTGAGACAGTCAGGCGCCCCAAAACTACCCAGCTTTCTAATGAATGTTTTGTATTAACTAAACACTTTTATCAGTTAGGTTTCTTTCTTTCTTTCTTCTTTTTTAAGATTTTATTTATCTGAGACAGAGAGAGCGCACAAGTGGGGAGGGGGGACAAAGGGAGAGGGAGAAGCAGGCTTCCTGCTGAGCAGGGAGCCCAATGCGGAGCTCGATCCCAGGACCTTGAGATCATGACCTGAGCCAAAGGCAGACACCCAACCCACTGAGCCACCCAGGTGCCCCTAGGTTTCTTTTTTAATCTCTCAAATTCAGAAAGGTTTCTGGTAATCTCTTCAGTTTATCAACAAATCAGTCAACATGTATAGTCAGCATATATTTACCAAACATCTACCGTGTGGAACACACATAACATTGTGGGCCAGCAATGAGGGACACAAAGGATTGAGCAACAACTTCAGGGTTGATCCTAAGCTCCCACGTTGGTTAGGTGGGGATATGGGAAAAAAATAAACTAACATATATAGAATGAGTGGTTCTAAAAACACTGGTTCGAGTCTCAGGCCTATCCTCCCACCATAGGCTTACAGTGTGGTCCAGGAATTTGTAATTTTTTAAAAAAGTCAACTCCTCAGGCAGCTCCCATGTGCATTTAGGTTTGGGGATCATAAGAGAAACATAAAAGTCATAGAGTTCATATGAGAAAATCACCTCTAGGGGCGCCTGGGTGGCTCAGGTGTTAAGCGGCTGCCTTCCGCTCAGGTCATGATCCTGGGGTCCTAGGATGGAGTCCGCATCGGGCTCCCTGCTCAGCGGGGAGCCTGCTTCTCCCTCTCCCACTCCCCCTGCTTGTGTTCCCTCTCTCGCTCTCTCTCTGTCAAATAAATAAAAATCTTAAAAAAAAAAAAAGGAAATCACCTCTAGCTAGTGTGGTTGGGAAAAGGAAGTCTTCATCAGACAAAAATCTGTGCTGGGCTCTGAAGGTAAGATTTTTTGCCCCAATTTTTCATTTTGAAACTTTTCAAATCTCCAGGAAAATGGAAAAATCATTACAATCAGTACATTCATATATACCATTCAGACTTACCAATGATCACCCTGTCTCATTTGTGTGCACTTACGCTTCCTCCCTCTCCCCACACATCTTCCAAATCACCTGAGGGTTACAGATAGGCATACTTTCTATCCCTAATACCTCAGTACGCATAGTCTAAGAATTATGACATTCTCCTACAAGACACAACAGTACCATTTTCATCTAAGAAAATGAACAATTCTGTAATCTCAACATATAATCCATAATCAAATTTACTAATTTGGCCTCATATTTTCTCTTATAGCCTTTTTTTGGGATCCATAATCCAATCAAGGCCCCTTCCTTGCATTTGGTTGTTCTGACTCTTAATATTACATTTCCCTCCCCCCATTTAAAAATATATATATATTTATTTGAGAGAGAGAGTACAGACAGGGAAAGGGAGAGAAACAGGAGCCCCGTGCAGGGTGCAGGGCTTGATCTCATGACCGCACGACCCTGAGATCACCACCTGAGTCGAAATGAAGAGTTGGAAGTTCAAATAACCGAGCCCCCCAGGGACCCCTGAAATTGACATTTTTAAAAAGTCTAGGTCAGTTCCAACATCCTGGATCTATTTCCATATAAGTAAAACATTTTCTTGTGTCTAAACAAGAATATGACCTAGATGGCAGTTGTATCCTTCTACACACATCACATTAGAGGCACATAATGCCAGGTTACCCCACTACAGGGGATAAGTTGGATCACTAGTTAAATGGTGACTCCAGATCTCTCTTCATTGTAGAGAGAGATGTAATACCCTATCTCCCAATAACCTTTCACCCAGTGGTTTTAGCAATCTACTGATGATTCTTGCCTGAATCAGTTATTACATTTGGGGCTGCAAAATGATGGCTTTCTAATTGTGTTATTCATCCTACATCTGCTGTATAGCAGTCTTCCATGAAGTAGAACTCTTTCTTTACTCTTCCCTTATTTCTCCTAAGTATCATTATGAACTTAAAGATTTGTTTTAATCTAGGGGTTCCTGGGTGGCACAGTTGGTTAAGTGTCTGCCTTCAGCTCAGGTCATGATACCACAGTCCTGGGATCGAGCCCCGCATCGGGCTCCCTGCTCCGCGGGGGACCTGCTTCTCCCTCTGCCTGCCGCTCCCCCTGCTAGTGTGCTCACTCGCTCTCTGTCAAATAAAGTCTTAAAAAAAAAAAAGATTTGTTTTAATCTAGTATAATAATCCATTACCATAATTTTCTTTTTAAATTGTCCCCAATTTTTGGTTCAAACTGCCGCAAATATGGCGGGTGGGGTTCCCATCGTCCTGTGTCATTTTAACACAATTCTATTTGCTTTTGAGGCTACTTTCTGGCATAAGATTTCTCTAAGCTCACCTTTTATCATCTCTACCCCAGACCTGGAATCAGCCACTTGTCCCTGAAACCTTTTTTCCTTTTAGTGGGCAATGGCATTCATAAATCAGGATATGAGCACTAGCTGTCCTTATAGCTACTAGGGTGTCATTGCTTCTAGGCCATTTCAATGGACAAAGTTAGGGACCTTTTTTTTTTAAACAACTATGAATTTATACTGATATTTTCAACTCAAATGCAACACTATAGTTTTTTCTTAAATTAGTATATCTTTCCCCTCACAATGAAAATCTTCGTTCATAAACTAGTTTGAAAATTATAACATCAATATTATTACTAACAATAAAAATATACCAAATTTTAAGTGTCTATTGGGGGGGCAGTTCTTTTTGTCCTTAAAGTACATCCCACTAGGAATGTACAATCAGTATGCTATGTTCAATTTATTTTTTCTCTATAGGTATGTAGGTTAGGTTCATTTCTTTTTTTAAAGATTTTATTTATTTATTGACAGAGAGACACACAGTGAGAGAGGGAACACAAGCAGGGGGAGTGGGAGAGGGAGAAGCAGGCTTCCCGCGGAGCAGGGAGCCCAATGCAGGGCTCGATCCCAGGACCCTGGGACCATGACCTGAGCCAAAGGCAGATGCTTAACGACTGAGCCACCCAGGCGCCCCAGGTTCATTTCTCTTTATACTTAATATGTAAAACCTTTACATGGTTCAAAAGTTCAGGTATTATGGGGCACCTAGGTGGTTCAGTCAGTTGGGCGTCCAACTCTTAATTTTGGCTCAGGTCCTGGTCTCAAGGTCGTGAGATGGAGCCCCGTGTGGGGCTCCATGCTCAGTGGGGAGTCTGCTTGGGATTCTGTCTCCCTCTCCCTCTGCCTCCCTACGCCAGAATAAATGGATGAATCTTAAAAAAAAAAAA